GGGACACAGGAGGGGAACGAGGGGGAAGACGAGCCGGGGACGAGTCTGGCAGAGGGAACACGGGGCCGTAGACGGGAAGAGGGGGAGACGGCAGGAGAGGAACAGGCGCAGGGTCAGGAGACGGAAGGCCGAGCAGACGGAGGGCGGACACAGGCGGGGACTGCTGCTGCGGCGACACAACACCAACACCAGGGCCACAAGCTGCGCGACGGCTACCTCCCGAACCCTCCACACCTGCACCCCCAGAAGGGACACCCCCAGAGTCCACAAACGGCGGCAGCGACGACGGCGGCGGGCGGCGGCTGCAGCGACGGCTGCGACGGCGGCGGCGGCGGAGACGACGGCTGCAACGGCGGCGGCGGTGGAGACGACGGCTGCAGCAGCTGCGGCGACGGCGGCTGCGGAGGCGGTGGAGGAGGAGACACCGGGGGAGGGACAGACGGCGAGGACTGCGCCGGAGGACTACCAGAGTCAGAAGACTCGTCGACCGGGACGACCGACGGGAGGGGGGTGACGTGAGACACACCAGAGGGGGCCGGACGGGGGGGCGGGGGGGGGGAGGGGCAGGGACCACCAGGGAGGGAGGAACCAGGAAAAGGGGGGGAGTAACCGGGGGACCACGGTGGGGAAAGCGGCGGTAGAAGGAGACGGACTCGTCAAAGGTGACGTCGCGAGAGTGAAAGAAGCGGTGAGACGGCGGGTGGTAGAAGTGCCAGTCGGACGCGTCAAGGGGGAAACCGAGGAAGACGCAGGGGAGGGTGCGGGCAGTGAGCTTGTCCGTGCCAGAGGCACGAACGTGAGCAAGGCAGCCCCAGACGCGGAACGCAGACGCGTCACCAGGGGACCCGGTCCACAGAAGGGTCGGCGAAACCTGCGGCCGCTGGGGGTGCGGCCACAGGTTAAGCTGGTGAGCGGCGTAGCGCACGGCGAACGGCCACAGAAAATGGGGTGCACCGGCGTGGATCATGGAGGTGCGAGCCACCTCCATGACCAAACCGATGCGTCGCTCAGCGACCCCATTCTGCTGCGGGGAGTCCGGCAGGGTAAACGTCTGAGTGATGCCCTCCGCACGACAGAAGCGACCAAGGACACCTGAGGCAAACTCGCCACCCCGGTCGGAGTGAAGGCGCAAGGCAGGGAGACCGCGGTGGACACGAGCAGAGACAAGCCAGGGGATGAGAACGTCAGGCACGTCGGCCTTCCGCTCCAGGGGGAAGACGGTGGTGTAGCGCGTGAAGTCGTTGACAAGCACTAGGAAGAAGCGCTCGCGACGCGGCCCATGGACCGGGGCTGGGCCCCAGACGTCCATGTGCAGAGTCTGCAGTGGTGCGGTGGTAGGGGGAAAAGAGGAGGAGTGAGGGGCACGGCGGAGCCGGCCCTCGACACAAGGCGTGCACGGTGGGGCGGGGGAGGAGGGAAACTCGGGGAACGAACCGGGGAGACCAAGGACGAGACCGTGCTGGGACATGTGACGCAGACGTGGGAGTGCAGGGTGACCAAGGCGGTGGTGCCAAAGGAGAGTCGGGTGAGTGAGGGACCGACAGGAGCACGCGGCTGCAACCTGGGTGGACGCAGCTACCGGGGGGGAAGACCCAGCCGGGGACGGCGCGGTGTCAAGTGTGAACAGGCCGGACACCGGGTCCCGGGGGAAAGTGGTAAGGGGGGCACCAGTGGCGGCCTCGGTACAGACAGCATACCGCTCGTGACCAGGGAACGTAGTGGTGACGCCAAGGTCCTGGAGGCAGCCGACACCAACTAGGTTCCTGGAGAACGAGGGGATATGCAGACCTGTGAGAGTGCCCGAAGGAACCGCCGGACAGGGAAGGGAGGTGGAACTGCGGGCAACGACGGGACCACCGGAGGGGTCAGCAAGAGTAACTGCAGCGGGAACAGGCAGCGGCGTCAGCGTCGTGGAGTCGCGGAAGAAACACCGGGAGGCGCCAGAGTCCAAGGTGAAGGAAAGCGCAGCAGTCGCGCGAGGCGGCAGTGAAGCGGTGGAAGCACCAAGGCTAAGCAAAGCAGGAGATCCTACGCCTGACGCAGCAGGGGAGTCTACGCTAGGCACCGCTACACTAGGCAACACGGGGTAATAAGAGGGAAGCACACTAGAGTCATCAGCATACATCACATGCAAGGCCGCGACAATGGCATCCATGTCCAAGTCAAAAATCCTAATGCTACGCCTAAGCAAGCTGTGCCAGTCCGGGAGGTCGGGCGCCGGGCCAAAGCGCTGGCGGAACAGGTCGTCCAGGCGACGAAAACAACGAGGAGTAGAATGACCGATCTTACCGCAAACGAAGCCGCGGCGAGGACCGGTCTGGATCTGGTACTGACAGGGCCCGCCTCCAGAACCACCACCCGGTGCACCACCACGCGCACGACCACCACCAGCTCCAGGCCACCCAGGTGGGAGAGTACTCGCCTGCCTCGTCTGCGGCTGCTGCTGCGGCTGCTGCGAAGGCTGCGGCTGCGGCGACTGCTGCTGCTGCGGCTGCTGCAACTGTGGAGGCAGCGGGGCAGCTGGACCGGGCAGGGTCCCCACGTCCGCACCGGCACCGGACGACCCGCCTCCACCACTACCCCCACCCGCACCCCCGCCGCCTCCGCCGCTCCCAACCTTGGGGCGGCGGCCCTTCGCCGAGCGGGACTGCACTGCGGCAGCAGTCTCAGCCACAGCGACAGAGCCGTCGGAGAAGGTACACTGAGCGGGGGCACAACCCTGAAAGATAGGGACCGGTACTGTACCGCTCGCCAGGGCTATGGAGCGGTGACGAGTCTCTATGGCAGTCAGGGTGTCAACAAAGTCGGTGAGGGTGAGAGCAGCAGGGTGGATGCTAAGGAACTGGTCGCGGGCAGCGGCAAGGCGGTCAGGTAGGCGGGTGGCAAGGAGGTAGAGGGTAGAGGTCATGGGAGGCTGGTGGACTCTAAGCTGAGCATCAGTGCAGGCAGCGCGCCAGGCCTCATCTATCGAGCGCAGGTGGGCAGCGAGGTCAGAGACAGTGGGGAAAGACGCCAGGTCAGGAAAGAGCAGGGGAAGGATCAGGCGACCCACTGAGGCAGCAGGAGGGGTAGAATAGCGCTTGATGACAGCATCGAGGTAGGCCTGGGCGGTAGGAATGGTTCTAAAGCGAGGGCGCTCAGTGGGGGGGAGGGCATTGCTAATGGCGAGCTGAGCAAGGGCATCGCGGGAAAGCCAGACAGAGCGGGCAAGGGCAGCAGCGGCAGTGGACTCGCGCTCAGCGGGCATGGGATCAGCGGGCAGCACAGCAGGGGGGTCAGGGCAGGGGAGCATACCGTCTAGGTGTGCAGAAAGCGGGTGGCCGTCCTGCCGCTGGCCAGTGAGGTGGCGGCGAAGGTCAGCCAACCACGCCTCGAACTCCAGAGGCTGACCCTCAACATCAAAACGAAGCTCAGCAGCCATGAGGGGCAGTGGAGGACAGTGCAGTGCGGTGCAGTGCGATGCAGTGCGGTGTAGTGCGGTCCAGTGCGGTGCAGTGCGATGCAGTGCGGTGCAGTGCGGTCCAGTGCGGTGCAGTGCGGTCAGTGCGATCCAGTGAGGTGCAATGCGATGCAAGGCGGGGCAGGAAAGTGCAGGAGGGTGCAAAGTGGTGCGGGGAACGGGGGACAGTACCAGGAAGTATGGAGGGCCGGGGCAGGTGCGTCGGGGCCGGGCAGGCACGACAAGGCCGGGCGGCGGCGACGGGGCCGGGCGGCAGCGACAAGGCCGGGCGGCTGCGACGTGGCCGGGCGGCTGCGACGGGGCCGGGCGGCTGCGACGGGGCCGGGCGGCAGGGACGAGGCCGGGCCGGACACAGCAGGGCCGGGCAGGGGCGACGGGGCCGGGCGGCTGCGACGTGGCCGGGCGGCTGCGACGTGGCCGGGCGGCTGCGACGGGGCCGGGCGGCTGCGACGGGGCCGGGCGGCGGCGACGGGGCCGGGCGGCAGGGACGGGGCCCGGGCAGGCCACAGCAGGGCCGGGCAGGGGCGACGGGGCCGAGCGGGCGGGCAGGGGCCGGGCAGGTGCGACAGGGGCCGGGCAGCCGCGACAGGGGCCGGGCGGGCGCCACGCGGCCGATAGGCCGCGACGGGGCCGAGCAGGGGCGACGGGGCCGAGCAGGGGCGACGGGGCCAAGCAGGGGCGACGGGGATGGGTAGGGGCGCGACGGGGCCTGGAGGGGCGGTACCAAGCCCAGGTAGGGGCGCGACGGGGCCTGGGGGGAGCGCAATGGGGCCCAGGAGGGGCGCTACGGGGCCTGGGAGGAGCGCGACTGGGCTAGGGAGGGGCGCGACGGGGCCTGGAAGGAGCGCAATGGGGCCCAGGAGGGGCGCTACGGGGCCTGGGAGGAGCGCGACGGGGCCCTGGAGGGGCGCTACCAGGCCCTGGAAGGGGCGCGACGGGGCCTGGAGGGGCGCTACGAAGCCCTGAAAGGGGCGCGACGGGGCCTGGAGGGGCGCTACGAAGCCCTGAAAGGGGCGCGACGGGGCCTGGAGGGGCGCTACGAAGCCCTGGAAGGGGCGCGACGGGGCCTGGGAGGAGCGCAATGGGGCCCAGGAGGGGCGCTACAAGGCCTGGGAGGAGCGCGACGGGGCCCAGAAAGGGGCGCAACGGGGCCCAGGAAGGGGCGCGACGGGGCTAGGGAGGGTCGCGACGGGGCTAGGGAGGGTCGCGACGGGGCTAGGAGCACGACGGGGCCCAGCTAGGGGGCGAGCGGAAGCGTGAGGGGGGGGGGGGGGGGGGGGGGATCCTACCTACGCGTGATACCATATCAAACAGTGAAATTGATGAATAGAGAGAGAGAGTACACAAACATATACCTAACTGTTGTACTCTCTAGAAGATGACCCTATACAGTCTATACAAGCATGATAACTAAACATGTTTGACAGTTCTTGCTGCATGCTCTTTGCCAATGTGGCATGCAGATCGGGAATATCGTCCAGTATGCAATGAGATGACCAAAAGTGGGTACCTGACTCGAGTGAATGTGGTGAAACAGGCACACGTGTATTCCAATTAAAAAAAGCATATGCACAGTACATAACTCCTGGGTGTTTTATTTTTTTAGCCTTTAATTACACCCAGCCCAAAATTTTGCTGCATTTTTATTAACACCATAGGGTGCTATATACGGGGGATTACGGTACGTGGTAGCCAAGGGGCAAGTCTCAACCTTTTCCCCCTTCCCCCCTTCCTCCAGCGCCCCCCCCTTCTCCAGCTGAGTGCTACATATGCACACGTAATCGCCAGTTTCTCCACATGCTCCTGCTGCCACACTCTTGCCCCCGGCACCTAACTCCAAGCCGTCAGCCTGAACCAACGTTTGGCACCCCTTGAACAGGGTGAAGTTGAGACCTCAAAAGGCTGAAGGGGCAGCTACACCCACTGAAGCCACAAGGCCACACACCACCAAGTATGTGATGCGATGACCATGCGGCCTGGCCGGCGCCCCGCCACAAAGCCAACACTTGTCCCCCACCACCCCCCCCCCCCATACAGTCGTTCTCACAGTCGTGCTAACTGCATGAGGAGCCTGTCCTCACTTCCATTCCTGGAGTCTAGGTCTGTAGCGCAGACCTTTACCCCTCTGACGCCCCAAACGCCCACACCACTGCATAGGTAGTCGCCATGGCTATCCACCCCCCACAGTTGTCCTCACTGCGCCCTCGGCCGCAGTGCATGCCAACCCAGACCCCCTGCAACCTGAACCCGAAACCCAGCCCACACCCCCGCACAGGTAACTGCCATGCCTAACCAGCCACCCACAATCCTTCTCACTGCCACAGAGCCTGCCGTGATTCCCCCCCCACCCAAACCCCCCAACTGATCCCTACACCCCCGACGCCCCAAAAGCCCACACCACTGCGTAGGTAATCGCCATAGCTAACCAGCCGCCCACAGTCGTTCTCACTGCCGCCCGGGCCTGAGGTGCCCCACCCAACCACGCGCCTAAGGCGCCTAATGCGATGAAGAGCACGGTTGATAGGGCGATGAGTACAGTGATGCGCGTGTTATAGTCTGTAATGACGCAGCCTGAGAGGAGGGGGGTGATTCCGCCCAGAAAGAAGGAGATGGCTGACACGACAGCAGCCTGCAGAGTGGAGAGATGGGGAGGTAAAGAACGTGGGAAGAGGAAGCACAAAGGTGAATGGGAAGAAGGAGATGGCCGACACGACTGCGGCCTGCAGAGAGGAGGGAGGGAATGGGGAGGGAGGGAGGGAGAGTGTGAAAAAAGGGTACGAGTGTGACTTTCGAGTCAACACAGAAGCAGCCTGGGGATGATCCATTCAGGAAGAAGGAGATGGCCGACACGACTGCCGCGTGGAGAGGTGCGGGAGGGAGTGGATGGGGAAGAGTGGATGGGGAGGAGGGGATGGGGGGAGGGCGGGGAGCATGAGGCATTGGGGTGTGAAAACGTTGCTGGTAAGGAGGGATTGCCGGGCCTCTGTTCGACTCTTTAGGGTGAAGGGGGGGGGGGGGAGGGGGGGGGGGGTGGGGGTTGGGAGGTGCCCCATCCCCCCTCTTCCTTCGAAACCCTTTTCCCTCGCTCTTTCACCCGGCCCACACACGTTCATCCCACAACCACCCTCGCCTCCCCATCCACCCTCCTCCACCCCCACTCCCCTCCCAGCCAGCCCCCTCGTTTTCCCCACCCTTCCCCCCTTGCCCCAGTTAGAATAACACCTAACCCCCCTTACCCGCGTCTCATTCCCACATGCCCGCTTTCACCTGCTCGCGTACAACCTCCCACGCTTTTTACCTGCCCCGGATCCGACAAATCGTCCAAGTCGATGCCTAACTCCTCTCTCGCGTGCGCCCTTATCGGATCGCTCTCATGCAGCGCTTCCGCCACCTGCCGCGCCAGATCGTACGGCACGCCGCGCGCCACGTAGATCTGAGTCAGCTCCCGCAATTCCCGCGCGACCGCCTCGGGCCCTTTCTCGAATTCCTCCCGTTCTTTCTGCAGATCCGCCTCCTCCGAGTCGCGCTGCCCGTACACCGAGATGTACTCGCCTATAGCCATGCTGCACGCCCCCGCTATAAGCCCCGAAAGCCCCGATATAATCATCATGGTGTGGGAGGTTTCTACGGCGCCGACTCCGAGCATTAAGGAGGTAATGGAGACTAGACCGTCGTTCGAGCCGAGAAGCGCGGCGCGCAGCCATGGCGAGCGATGCGAGTAGTGAGAGTGACCTATGTCAGAGTCGCGAAACGAGCGGGCTCTATTGAAAGATGCGGAACGAGCCGCGATGCCATGTCCTTGCCTCAGGCTTCCCCCAAGATTGGATCTCGGATCATTACCGCCATCGCTACCATCGGCGCTGACGAGTAGCGCCGGTGCTTCTGACGAGCTCGCAGTTCCGATCTCCGCATCTTGCACAGCAAGAAGAGGCTGCCTCATGGCCAATAGTTGAAGTGCCACGTGTCAGTGTACTACTCAAGTAGACCTGGCGAGGCGGCAGGCGGGATTCGGGAGGCAGGCGGGACTGGTGGATTTCAGGGGGTGGCCGAAAATGATCAAGCAGACCTCGATAGTAGCGAGCTTCTAGTAGTACTACGAAAACGCGAGTGTTTCATAAGCGCGCCGAGATCTGCCCCTGCGAGAAAACAGGCGGGAAAACAGGCGAATCGAAGCGAAAGAGATAAGCACTGAGCGATAAAGTAACCAGCGAGCAGAATCATGGGCGACCTCAGCCCTTTGTTACAAGAAAAGACAAAACAAGAAAACGGTTTTAATATAAACCAACTTATTACAAATATTAACCATTGAACAAAAATATGTAAAATATTAATAAATCGAACTTCCAATCAATTACATGAACAAAGAACTTGAAACAAACCATTTAAAACATAGAAAATTAATACGTACAATACAATATAGAACAATGCAATTGAGCAAAATCTGACGTTGTTCGTTCACGTCTACACCTCACTTTATGTTGCATGACTTTTTTGTTGCAGAAACGTCAAGGTTCAGCTGGACGTTACATATAGGTATGTATGTTAGAAGGCTAGCTTAGCTAGGAAGCTAGGAAAGACATAAGGTTTAGCTAGCAGGAGCCAAGGAGTGGCGTGAGGTTTAGGAAGGAGAAAAGTTGAGGAGAGAAAAGAAGTTGGAATAGAAAGAGAGCGGCATACAAGGAGGGGATTGTACTCTCTACAGTAAATTTCGGTAACCTACCAAGCCTAACAATTATATAACTCAATATATAATTTAACAATGTATTGCATCGTTTCGCAACACGCATCGATACGGAGTTCGATGCGACGTCATTCGTGCGCTCATGCGCTTCATGTTGCTTTGCTTGCTAGCATTTCTTGCAGGGAAAACTGGCACGAAAACAGGCGAATCGAAGCGAAACAGGAAAGCGCTGAGCGATAAAGTAACCAGCGAGCAGAATTATGGACGACCTCAGCCCTGTGTTACAAGGAAAGACAAAACATGAAAAGGGTTTTAATAAAACCAATTTATTTAAACTATTAATAATTGAACAAAAACATATGAAACATTAAGAAACCGAACATCCAATCAATTACATAAAAGAAGACCTTGAAACAAACCATTTTCAACATAAAAACACAATACATACAATACAATATAGAATAATGCAATTGAGCAAAACCTGACATTGTTCGTACACGTCTACACCTTACTTTACGTTGCGTGACATTTTTTTTGCTGCAGAAACGTTGCGGTTCATCTGGACGTTACGTATAGGTATGTATTGCATCGTTTCACAACACACACGGATACAGAGTTCAATGATACGTCATTTGTGCGCTCATGCGTTTCAGGCTGCTTTGCTTGCTAGCATTTCTTGCGGCGATGACACGACAATATATGTGCAAAATTTTACGTACATTTCTGTTTCCCCACTGAGTGTGTTACTTGGTTTTTATTGTAGTACGCATAGAAGTGTTGAGAGACCTACGGGGATCGCCCTAGAAGATCCTCGGAAGGGCCACAGTGTCGAGATGGGGTTTTAGTTAGAGGGAAAGTTAGCGAGGAGAGAGAGTGTTGACCAGAGAAGAGAGAGAGGTACAAGAGAAGAGTTGTCCCCTCTACTGTAAGAACCAGTACGAGTAGAACACCTATCTAGCCTACACATATATATGTTGACACACCCCCTAGACTTGGTAGGTGCTACTCACAGAAGCAAGAGACCAGAGCAGCACTACTAGTCTATCCACTGTTATGAGTAGTAAGAAAATGTCAGAACACACCACACTTAACACCTCTAAGCCCAACACCCCCAAGACCTAGCACCCCGATAACCAGCAGCAGCGGTGACATTCTACAGGCGATTCGACCCCTCGGCGTGCGAGACAGCAACGTCGGTGGCGGCGGCAGCGGAGCCAGCGGCACCCAGCGGCGTGGCACTTCTCTGCGACGACGGGGGAGGACGGCTTGAGACAGCCATCAGATGCAGTGAGGGAGGGGGGGTGGGGAGGGGGGGGAGGAGGGCTTCGGTGGCTGGTGCAGTTATCGGGCCAGGGGGCGGCTAGAACACGCTGGCTGGCACGTTGGCTGGCATGCGGACGTGCTAGCTGCCGCTAAACCAGCGCACTGGCTGGTGCCGTCCGTGCGCTGGCGCGTCGAGGCCGCCACAACAGCGCGTCGAGGCCGTCATGACAACGCGACGAGGCCGCCAAGGCGGTGCGCCAATGCAGGGCAACGCATCGGGGCTAGGGGCAGCGCGACAAGGTGCACCATGGCGGCGCGATGGTGGGAGGAGAGGAGAGAGTAAGATGCGGAAGTGTGGGGAGCAGGCCTGTCATGATGGACCCGCTCTGAAACCATGTCGAGATGGGGTTTTTGCTAGAGGGAAAGTTAGCGAGGAGAAAGAGTGTTGACACATAGGCTGCTATGCCTCAGGGGGTTATAGACGCACTATCCCACTTCTTAACAAGCCCTTTTAGCTTAGTGGTAAGCGACAACTCTGCTTCTGAGAAGAGGCTATAGCACAGCGTTCCGTCGGATGCCATTATTACATACACACATGGCATGATAACATTGGGCATACATAAGATGGCATTGTATTTAAGGATGTGAATGTAATAGCTATAATACTCAAGGTGTTGGAAATATCTCAAGGACTTCAGCGTTTCTGAAGTGTAACATCACACTCGAGGAAGATTGTAACGAGTACGCGAGTCAACGGAGGTTACATGAGGGGATGGACAAAGAACACGGAAGGACTCGAAGGGTCGCAACCGAAGGTTGCGACTGACCGTTACAACTGCAAGAATGGTAACCGAAGCGACAATCGAGTCGCTGTGCGACACGATAAACCGCCATTCAACTGTATTCTACAACTGCTTGTTTTCTACTTTCTATATATTGCTGTATGCTTGTTCACTTTAATCAATCACTTCTCATATACTAGTACAAGGGTTCAACTACTCAACTTCCGCTGCACTACTCAAGTCTCAATCCTCAACTGGGACTTAGTCTCTGGAAAGATCCTAAGGGCTTTTATCAGCCCAACATGGTATGAGAGCTGGTCAGAGACCAAACTCCCAGCAACTACGCTCTATCTACAATCTGCAATTCAAACGACTTCATTGATTACAAGTCATGGACAGCAAGGGCAAGAAAATCTCTACGGGCTCACCCAGCGCCCAAGACACTCAACCCGGCAACTCTGGATTGCACACTTCAGGACTGCAAACCGAGACCGGCGCTGCTCAAGAAACAACAGGAAGAGCACCGGAAATGGTGACTCCATCACCCTCTTCAAGCGTGGATCCGAACCTTATGGAAAGGTTCTTCAGCTTCATGTCGCACTTCGACCAGCAGCAGTAGACAAGGGCACCTGCGCATTCAACACAGAGCAACGGAGGAAACATGGGATTAGCGCCGATGAGCCTCGACAATTCATCGTTCGGGCGACACAATCAAGCGCCTACCTTTGCGCCTTATCACTCTTCACCGGGGACATTCGAGTTCATGCCGCCCCGTGCCCAACCAACAGCAGCTGCATCACAACAGACACCAAACGAGATTTTGAGTCTCCAGGCGCAGTTTTCACACGTAATCAAATTACAGACATCCTCACCGTTCAACAAACACGACTTCTTTACCTGGAGCTTTGAGTTTGAGCTGCTGATGGAGGCTGCGCATCTCTTGGGATACTTCAACGGGTCCCTGCCATTCCCAAGCAACGGCACTGGAAAGGAGCAAGAAATTTTCACGTATCAGTCACTGCTGGCGTATACAGTTCTCCTGCGGAACCTGTCACCACAAGAACAACAGAGCATCAGAACGTATCGGAGCTATGGAAACTCCGCGGAACTCGCATGGCATCATCTCAAGTGTCTCTATCAAGCAAACGACAGCGTGACACAAAGCAGACTCATGCAACAGTTGACAACAATACAGATGAAGACCGGGGAAAAGGCGATGCAGTATATGAGTCGCTGCCAGACCCTCCGCGACCGCCTGCTTCGGTGCGGAGGAACAATCACTGAAGAAAGCTTCGTGACACTTGTCCTCGCCGGGCTCGGGCCAGAATGGAGAACCACACGCTCGCTTCTTCGCGCCCACGGAAGGATCTCGGAGATGCACCTCTGCGCCGAGCTTCATGCTGAACAACAGGAGATGGACCTGTTCGAAGAAAGACAACCAAGGAAGCAGCAGCAGTTAGTTTTCTACACTCAACGAAGGAACGACAACAACTACAATCGACGCGGCAAGCAAGATCAACACGACAACAGAGGACTCACCATCGTGGCGCCGTTCTGCCACAACTGTCAAACATCCGGACATTCCAAAGTCAACTGCACACGTCCTCGTGTCTATCGTCCAGTAGACCCACAAGTCGCTTCCACTCAAGAAAGCCCTCCAAGACGTTCTTCCACATCTGCACAAGGGACACCGAACATCATCAACTGCATGGTACACATCGACAACTGCGCACCCGGATCACCACCCACTTACGCGCCAGACGAAGAAGAATTCCCGCCGCCGGATCTTGACCCCGAATTCAACCCCGATGGATTCTGGTACTCCAACACCATACCTGCAGCAGAAAGAACACGAGCGTTAGCAGTCATCAGACAAGAAAGACAAGTACCAGCAAGTGTTCCTTCCCAACCATCACCGGCAGTAGCAGCAGCAAGATCCAGCCGAGTACCACCACCAGCGATCCGAGGATCACCAACCGAAGCAGATCAACTTATGCCCATCACACGAGAAGTCTGCCGCAGTCCCGCCACGGTCGTCGCGTTCTTCTCCAACACCGACATATACCACCGCTCGCCCGGCCATCGCGCTCCCGACGACATCTGGCACCAACGTCTCGGACATCCTGCAAACAGTACAATACTGCAAACCATCCAAGCCCAAGTGTTAGAACGAAACGCTCTCCTTACAACGAGCGGCCAAGAACTTCGACGACCACGCGCATGGTGCTTTACGTGCCCCGAAGCCGATCTTCCCCACCAGCCTTTTCCATCCCATCACAACCCAAGCGCACCTACATACGCACCGATGGAAAAAGTCTA